GTGGATGACCGTTGAACACGGCACTCGTGAAGCTTCTTTCCAAGCTCCCACTGCCGCATAACACGCACATTGGGCAGTGCCGGTCCACTTAGATAGAGTGGGCTTAGTGGGAGTAAAGGATGGTATTTGGAGTTCAGACTGAGCTGGCTTAAAATTCTGAACACGTGCCTTTGGGCAAATTATCCTAATATGGGGTAATATATGCGCACTTACACAGTTGTTGGTAATTAATGTTGGATGAGTCTTCGTGTCAGAGTTGGGAGGTAACTTTCTTCCTGGCCGGGGGCCGGTGGCTCACGCCTTAATCCAAATTTGGGAGTCCGAGCAGGGCGGGTATCACCTTGAGGTCGGGATTCAGAGACCAGCCTAGTCAACATGGGAGAAAAACATCGTCTACTAAAAATACATAAATTAGCTGGATGTGGTGGGACACGCCTGTAATCCCAGCTACTCGGGAGGCTTGAGGCAGGGAGAATCGCTTGAACCCAAGACGCTGGACTTGTGGTGAGCCGACGATGCGCATACTGCACTCCGCCTGGGGCAACCGAGAGTGAAAACTCAGTCTCAAAAAAAAAAAAAAAAAAGAAAAAGAGAAACTTCCTTTCCCTCATACGTCACAAGGCATACAGTAAATTCCTTTAGGTTCACCCAAGATGGGGTAGTTCGCACTGGGTGAACTACGGGAGCATAAGGGAGCACAAATGTACACATTCTCTCTCTTCCTCCCTCTCAGGGCTAGATGGTGCTGCCGCTGGAGAAGAAAATCCTCTGGGAACAGAGCTGGCAAAGCCAGATGGATGCGACTGTGGTTGTCATGGCAACCCCACCAAAGGAGAATGTGACCCTGCTGAGTCTCTTACAGTTATATTCAGAAACAAATTAGAAGTGGTTTCAAGTGTCTGCCCACCTGTGCGTTAAGAGAAAGAGGGGCCTGTCCTCTAAGGTCTGACTGAGCCTGAAGTCAGCTTAGCCAGACCTGGACAGCTGGCAGACCTCCTTGCTTAGGTTTACTGTTCTGGACAGCCATCAGCAACCTTGGAGACACTAAAAGATGGGAGGGAGGCCGGGACTGCCAGGGACCTGTTAGATGTAGTGAACCTGTATCCACCCTGTCTGGAGCTCATTTGCTCCCAATCCGAGTGGAGGCAGGGACCAGGGAAGGCAGTAGTGAGACCTCCATGACCACGGATGGGAGAAAGGTGGCTCGCTCTACACACCCAGCGCCTGGCAAGAACTATGATGGCTTTGTTGCGACTGACACTTTTTTTCCCCCTTTTTTTGAGACAGAGTAGCACTCTGTCGCCCAGGCTGGAGTGCAGTGGCACCATCTTGGCTCACTGCAACCTCTGCCTCCCAGGTTCAAATGATTCTCCGGCCTCAGCCCCACCAAGTAACTGGGATTACAGGCACTCGCCACCACACCCAGCTAATTTTTTTTATTTTTAGTAGAGACGGGGTTTCACCATGTTGGCCAGGCTGGTCTTGAACTCCTGGCCTTGTGATCCACCTACCTCTGCCTCCCAAGTGCTGGGATTACAGGCGTGAGCCACCATACCTGGCCAGAGTCAGACTGTTTTTATTCATTTATTTTTATTTTTATTTATTTTTTGAAATTGAGTCTCACTCTGTCGCCCAGGTTGGAGTGCAGTGGCGTGATCTTGGCTCACTGCAAACCCTGCCCTCCAGTTTGAAGTGATTCTTTTGCCTCAGCCTCCAGAGTAGCTGGGATTACGGGTGTCCGACACCATGCCTGGCTAAGTGTTGTAACTTTTGTATTTTTAGTAGAGATGGGGTTTCGCCATGTTGGCCAGGCCGGTCTTGAACTCCTGACCTTGTGATCGGCCCACATCAGCCTCTCAAAGTGCTGGGATTACAGGCATGAGGCACCATGCCCAGCCTTTTTTTTTTTTTTTGAGACAGAGTCCTCGCTCTGTTGCCGCGGCTAGAATGCAGTGGAGGAATCTCAGCTTACTGCTACCTCCACCTCCGTGGTTCAAGCGATTCTTGTGCCTCAGCCTCCTGAGTTGCTGGGATTACAGGCACGCACCACCACACCTGGTTAATTTTCGTATTTTTAGTAGAGACTGAGTTTTGCCGTGTTGGCTAGGCTGTTCTCAAACTCCTGACCTCAAGTGATCCACCCACCTCGGCCTCTCAAAGTGCTGGGATTACAGGCATGAGCTACCACACCAGGCCCAGACTAGTCTTAAAAAATCACGGCTCACTAGCTGTGTGACCTTAGGCATATTAGTTCACCTGTCTGACCTGTCTCATCAACTATAAAGCGGGATAACGAAATCTACTCCATGGAACTGTTGTGAAGATTCAGAAATGTGTGTAAAGGATTTAGCATGTTGCCAGGCACATGGTACCCTATTACCCTGTGACCTCTTTAGGAGGCTATAACTTTCAGACTCCCTTACTACCAACCTTCAAAGCTCAGAAGAGTTCTGGAAACCATCTCCAGGGCATCCCACTTGTTCCCTTCCTCCACAGGTGACAGCCTTTTTTTTTTTTCTTATTAGTGCCAGCCTT